ATACAAAATAAACAAGCATTTAGGTCATGATGGTGCCTGTTGGGTGGTGGATAGGGGAAAACTATGCCCACTCCTAGGCCATGCAACACTATAAACCCATGCATTTCTTTGTGTTGTGGGTTTCTCTTTACAATTTTATCTTGAAATCAGAAAAAAAGAAACCCTGATGCGCCAAGAGATTTGTCTTCTCTTTTTTTTTTAGTATTATGTGACAACTTCAAATAGTTTAATTCCTCAGTCAGTCATGCAAGGATTTGCTTTGAAAAATTGCAGTCCTGTTGTAAAATGCCACCAGTTTTATTGCTTAGAGTAGCTGCATTTAAAGAATAATTTTAGTTATCCCATGCATTTTGTCACTTGGTGTGTGAGTAATTTCTGCTCACTTAAAATGAACTTTAGAAGCTCATGAAGCTTATGTCATTGCAAGGTGTAAAACCTCTTCAATAAATAAATGTGCATTAATGTCATATTATCTAGATTTAATTAAGAGTAGCAGTGATGTGTAGTGTAGTTGCATTCTCGTGACAGACCACAATTGAGAATATTGTTTAGTAGTTGCTGGATAAAGGAAATGGTTTTCTATCTGTCTTAATTCTTCACTTGGGATTAAAAAAAAAGGGGTGGGGAATATGTGGAGTACAGGGAATTTTGAGAGGAGGCTTGAACTGTGGATCAGTGAGAAGACACTAGTGATCAGTTCAACTGTTAATAATAGCACCATTTAATTTTAGTAGTAAAGTACGATTTGATGTGATTCATATTGGCATATTCTTACCTTACCAACATCTCATTTAATTTATCCAGTTGTCATTAATTATTCCTTGTATATATCAAAGATTTAGCATCCCCATTTTCTCTGGTGGTAATCCTGAGGACCTTCTATTTCAGTAAAGAATGCCATATCGTAATTAAAGAATTCTTAATTAAAGAATTTCTCTTCCAGTGTTTCTTCCTGACTTAAAATTCTGATTTTCTGGATTCATAGGTTTAAATCTGTTTGCTTTCTTTATTTGAAAAGAAACCCTTTGATATGTTTGTTTTTAGGAACAGAGTGTGAAGACCTCATAGAAGAGTTGCTGTGTTGCCTGATCCAGCTCATTGTTGAAATTCCCCTCTTGTAAGTTTGCTTTTTCCTTTTGTTTTTTTATCTAGCCCTCCTGGCTTCTTCCCATGAATTGATCATTTGAGAGAATATAAAACTTAGAGTGATGGGATCATAATATTTAAATACTTGTATTTGAAAGTTGCATGTGATGGGGCAGTACTGATAGCAAGAACCTGCTGCTAGTACCAGCACTGGATGTTCTGTTGGATGAAATACAGGATCAGCATCTCACACATAGTTCAAACCAGCAGCAGAAGTTACCCTGGTTTATTTAGTAGGAGCTCTGATGTTTGTTTCAGGTACCTCTGTTAGCACAGGGACATTTTATGCTAACTTTTGGCTAGAAATGGCTGTGGGGAAATGGGAACCTTGAGGGGGGGATGCAGCAAAAGTTCCTCTTCTGCAGTTTGTGTGTGTGTTAAATAAGTCATTATTTACCACTGATTTCTGAAATACCAGGAAATTGAGGTTGAAAAGAGAAATTACTGGGAAGAATATTTATGTGGCTGTTTTAATGGATCTACTGTATTTGAGCTGTGTTGGTTCCACATCCCACTGGGAGATAAAGACATGGAACTGTTGGAGTGAGTCCAGAGGAGGCCACAGAGATGATGGGAGGGCTGGAGCAGCTCTGCTCTGGAGACAGGCTGGGAGAGTTGGGGTGTTCAGCCTGGAGAAGAGAAGGCTCCAGGGAGACCTTAGAGCACCTTCCAGTGCCTGAAGGGGCTCCAGGAAAGCTGGGGAGGGACTTGGGACAAGGGCAGGGAGGGAGAGGACAAGGGGGAAGGGATGAAAACTGGAAGAGGGAGATTGAGGTGAGA